AGATACATATTCATCAGTAAAAATGAGCCAATCACATGCCACACACCTACCCAGGTGTAAATAATTATATTGGCCCGGTACTAACTAGTTCTGATGTGTGAGTATACACAAATCCTTTCTTGGGGACTTTCATGATTCATAAAGATGATAGACAAGGTTACCCTTACCTCTAAAATACTATGATTCAACACCACTACCAATACCCAGAGCTGGCTCACAATAACTTCATGTCTACTAACAAAAGGATTTCTTAAGATGTAGGGACAATGAAATCACACAGTCATTCCAAAGGTATTCCAAGGGTTGGGGCACTTTAAGGAAGGTTTATTTATTACTTTTCTAGGCTGATTCTTTTGTACCATCTGTGGTCTCCTCCCTCCATTTCCCCCAACCTTGCCTTGAAGATTAAAAAAAATCACAATGAATTTCTATCAGACCTGAGAAAGAAAGAAGGTAGCTTACTTTTGTTGATCTCCTATTGTTAAAATATGGTTTTATTTCTTGAAACTATAATTTGATAAAAATGTCCAAAGGACTGAAGAAACTGAGTCGGGCTATTAGCCTACTCTTTTTCTTATTTCAGTTCCATCTGAGGAAACAATAGGCTCTTCTTGCCTTTGGCAATATAATAATTCAGATGCCATGCTCGAAATACCACACACCAAGACATAAAATGGTGGCATTTTCTCTCTTTAAAAACAATCAATGCTTTCATTTGTGGACTTCAAAGTATATGTGAAATAAAAGTCTCAGCCCTGTGTGTTTCAGATATATCAAAGGGCTAGAAGTGTCATAAAAAAGTTTCCTGGTTCACTGCCCTTATTCTAGGTAAGAAAGGAAACAAAAATACCACCAGGCAGATAAGTGTTCATCCCATTTTTATACTTCTCTTCTAAGTGCGATTAAACAACTTCCCATGATCACCCACTCCTATACTACGCCAGATCAAACACTGTGCCGGGCTATTTCCTTGTAATAACCTATGCTTGGTGGTGTTGGGACTCTTCACTGGCTTTTTCTTTGCCAAGTTTCATTTTGATTTTCAGAAATTCTAAAGAAAATCTGACAAAATGGGTTAAGAGTCTATGGTAAATATTAGATACTTTCTGTAAGTCCTCTTAACATAACTTTAAAAACAAATTTTATTGGGGGATTTTATAGCTCTTATAACAATCCATACATAGATTCAGTGTGTCAAGAACATTTGTACACATGTTGCCATCATCATTTTCAAAACATTTTCTTTCTACTTGAGCCCTTGATATCAGCTCATTCTCCCCACCATCCCTCCCTCATGTACCCTTGATAATTTATAAATTTATAATCCCCCCATGTCTTACACCAACTGCTGTTTCCCTTCACCCACTTTTCTATTGTCCAAATTGATCACAATGATTAATACAATTTTTTGACTAACATAACTTTATAAGGGATTCTATTGTACTTTAGCTCAAACCATTTCTCCTCTTTGGCTTTTTGAACATCTTTAAAATGCAGCATGTATGATACACACCAAGAAAAAAGGAACCAGCACACCAAAACAAATGATTATATAGTGATAGGTCTCCCAGAGAGCTTGAACTCTCGGGAATCATGCATTATTGCAAATGAAAACTCTTGAAGATTCCCCCATTCCATATTGGGCTATGAAATAAAGCAACACTGCTTAGTACTGGGCATCACATATTTAAGCACAAGCCTAGCTTTCAAACAGAGGCATATGAGAGAAGGCAGCAGAAATAAAACTAAGTTTACAAATGGATGGTCATAATTATCACTTAGTTAAACTACCACTCCAAGAGAGTTGACACCTTCTTTGAATACTTGTGCTATGAAGTGAATTCTGACTCACAGTGACCCTAAATAGGGTTTTTGAAGCTGTATATCTTTACTGGAGATGATAGTTTTATCTTCATCCTGAGGAATAGCTGGTGGGTTTGAACCAGGGACCTTGCAATGCTTACTTACCACCAGGGCATGGACAGTGCATAAGGACACCCAAAATGAAGCAGTATCATTGATTTATGGGGTTAGTAAAGACTATTAAAAGTACCATGGATTGTCAAAAGACCAGACAAATCTGAATTGGAAAAATTTTAGGCAGAATGTTTCTTAGAAGTGAGGTTGGCAAGATTCTGTTTCCCATATTTAGGGCACATTATCAGGTTGGTAAAGTAGAGGGTCAGTGAAAGAGAAGAAGACTCTCAATGAGATGGAATGACATAGGGTTGCAACAAAGGGTTCAAACATCAATTGTGAGGATGTTGTTGGACAAGGCAGTGTGTCACTCTGTTGTACATAGTTTCACTGTGAGTTGGAATCTACTCAATAGCAGCTAACAATAACAGCAAGAAAAAATCCTTCAAACTCTAAGATTCCATGGTTCAGGGATGCTTCAGAAGAAAGACCTGAAGAACTACGTCTGGTGGGGAAAAATAGGTAAAATCTGGAAAACCCTGTGGAGCACAGTCCAACTTTGACACATAGAGTCATCATTAATCAGAACTGACTCAATGGCATGTGGTTAATGATGGATTAATCTGTTAACATTTTGTAATCCCTAATTTGCTCTCACTAAATAAGCTCATTAAGAATAAGAAAGTTCACAATTCAAGTTCCGATATAAGTAGTACCCTTTCACATCCTCATGAGTTCACTACAGTTCAAAAGGCAGTGTCTCAAATTACATATCACGTATCAGGACCAGTGTTGACAAATTCCTAAGTAATCAAACATGAAACAAAACTAAATCCTCAGAGCAGCTAAGAGATGTCTTAAAGTTGATATACTAAATTTCCGTGCACTCTATCCGTGGTAGGCGCCACTTAGAACAGATTTAAGTCTTACTTAATAAACTCATCTACCTTACCCATGTAACACACCATCTTGAAGGACTGGCTGCTATTCTTTTTTTTTAAGTTCATAACCAATTAGAAGGAGCAAAACAGGGCTACTTAATGAAGGGACACTGAAAGAAACAAGAAATTCTTGCAGTCTGCAAAAAGGAGAAAGGACAAATATGTGTTTGTGATAACCAAAAAACCATTAACAGTCTTGGATGACTTAGTGCATAGGTAAAAGGCTTATATTTCTTTGTAGATCATGAAAAGAATAGATTATTACAGTTCAGTACAATAACTAATGATTTCAGTTATGCCCTAAAAGAGCAAGAAAAGTTCATAATATGTTAAATAACTACCTTAAAAAGGCAGATAATTTTTATACATACATATACACTCATATATATGTGATTTATATCCCTAATGGTTAACCTAAAAATATGAAACAGGATGATGCTCAAAAGGATGAAGTTCGTAATAGAATCATATAATAATGATGATGATAAAAATGGGGGGGGGCTGAGTCAGGGTGTGATATAGCAATGATGAAACATATGACTTTCCTCTAGTTCCTAAATGCTTCCTCCCACCCCACTATCATGATCCCCATTCTACCTTACAAAGATGGGTAGACCAGAGGGTGTACACTGGTACAGATAGGAATGAGAAACACAGGGAATCCAGGGCGAATGATCCCTTCAGGACCAGTGGTGTGAGTGGCGATACTGGGAGGGTGGAGGGAAGGTGGGTTGGAAAGGGGGAACCGATTTCAAGGATCTACATATAACCTCCTCCCTGGGGGATGGACAACAGAAAAGTGGGTGAAGGGAGACGTTGGATAGGGCAAGATACGACAAAATAATAATTTATGAATTATCAAGGGTTCATGAGGGAGGTGGAAGCGGGGAGGGAGTGAAAAAAATGAGCTGATGCCAGGGGCTTAGGTGGAAAGCAAATGTTTTGAGAATGTTGAGGACAATGAATGTACAAATGTGCTTTACACAATTGATGTATGTATGGATTGTGATAAGAGTTGTATGAGCCCCTAATAAAATGATTTTTAAAAATAGTGGGGGGGGGGGCTGTTCTCAAGTAGATTGCAACTCATGGTAATGCCATGTGTTTTTGGGTAGAACTGCTCTCCATAGGGTTTTCAATGGCATGACCCTTTGGAAGTAGATAGCTGGGCCTTTCTTCTGAGGTGCCTGTGGGTGAATTGCAGCTGCCAAATTTCAATAGTTGAGTGCTTAAGCTGAACTTGTTCCCCTCAGGGTCTCCTAACTAATAATGATCATGATAATAATATTCATTATCAGCAAGTCAGTTCTGATTCACTTCACTTACAACCATCAAATCAATTCCAACTCACAGCTATCCTTATATATAGGACAGAGTCTAACTGGCCTAAGGGTTTCTGAGACAATCAGTCTTTGTAGGAGCAGAAAAGCTCCAGTGATCAGCTAAAATCTGGTTCTCCTAGTTTTTCCTCAATCCTTTTTAGGAGATTCTATATGCAAATAGGCTAATGGGACATGCGGGGTGGGGAAAGGGGTGGGGTTGCAGAGAGACTAAAATGTCAGTTGTTAGAGAGATTTAGAAAAATCTGTTCACCAGCTGTTCTGAGAGACCTATCAGTGCCTAAAACACACTTAGGGAAAACAGGGGTAGGGATTTGAGATAAGCAAATAGATATAGCTATTTTAAGTAGAAGTAAAGGCTACATGTAGACCCAAAAAGAAATGTATAGTGGAATCATTCACTCATGCAATTCCTTCTGTTTGAACCTATGCTCCTTCCCATATCCCCTTGTCTCAAGTTTGCCCATTTTTCAAAGCGCAGCTATTGCCACTTTTGCCATGAAACTTTCATGATCCCCAAATCTGATTAAATTGTTTCTCACATACATATGCTCCTATGCATCTTCACGATATCACTGATACAACTCTGTCTTGACATTGAGGTAATCCACATATATGCTTACAAATTAGAATTGACTTGATAGCACAAAATAGCAACACAACACATTCCTTGAAGGCAAGGGGCTATTTCTCATTTCTGTAGTTCCTACATATTCTAGCAGAGTCAGCAGCACACACTAGGTTCTAGAAAAATGTTAACTCAATAACACTGACTTGAAGAGTGCAACGCAACCTAACTTACCTGAAGGAGCATTTGTTCGCTTTCTTTTTTTGCTTGATTCCCCTCCATTTTCAATGAGGCTTTCTGTGACCAGAGGGCCACTGGCACTACCAAACTGCAAGGGTTCGTTGTTGCTAGCAGGGTCAAAGGGAAGCTGGTTCAATCCTAAGGAAGAAAAAGAAAGCCAAAATCTAGAATCTGTAAAGACTTGGGTCATCTCTAATTTTATTTTATTATTAAATCTAAAGAGTCTAAGAGTAACAAGTTAATTTTTAAAGCCTGTCTTCTGTCCTCTGTCTTTTTTTGGACAAATACAGAACTTAAATGTAAGTTCTTATAAGGCAGTGCCTCTTTCATTTGTAAAAGCCCTATTTCTGTGGGAACTTCAAACTTATCAGCTGTTTTCTACCTCCGTGAAGAGCTAAAAAATGACTGTCATTGAGTCAACTCCAACTCACAGCAACCCTGTGTTTCTGAGACTGGAACTCTTTATGGAAGGAAACCTCATCTTTCTCCTGGACACTGGCTGGTGATTTTGAACTGCTGACCTTGAAGCTAGCAGCCCAATGTGTAACCAGTACACCACCAGGGCTCCTCTTTAAACGTGGCTAGGCTTGGACTTATTCTTCCTTTACATCAAGATATCTGTATCAACACAACAAACATGAAACTATGAAAGTATGTTAGGGGGCAATTTAATGAACACAGTGCCAGGCTTTTTCAAAGTTGGTTGTGCTGATGCAGATATAATCATTAAGCTATCCTGGTGTCAAAATCACTTCCAATAATATAGAACCTTCACAAAAAGAAAGCCACTGAAACTGAGAGAAAAAACGGGGGTGGGACAAGGGATAAACCAAACAACAAAGGTATCAAAATAACAAGGAGGGCTATTAAGTAGTTGGGGTCATGATGCAGGAGTTATGGTCCAGGTTTAGATAGTGTTAATCCCAGCCCGTTCAAATGATGTCAGAAGCACGATCACTTCACTAGTCACTGCAGCACCATATAAAATAGAATAGAGCATTCTTGACTCTCTAAGCCAGCGGTTCTAAACCTGTGGGTAGCAATGCCTTTGGGGTGGTCAAACAACCCTTTGACAGGGTTCGCCTGATTCATAACAATAGAAAAATTACAGTTATGAAGTAGCAACGAAAATAAATTTATGGTTGGGTCACCACAATATGAGGAGCTAGATTAAAGGGTCATGGCCTTAGGAAGGTTGAGAACCACTGCTCTAAGTCATACAAAATTCAATCAGGGATGAGCAGAGAATTTCTTGCTTTTCTGGCAGGAGCATCTGGAATTTCAAGCATTTCAATTAAAACTTCATGAAATGTGGAATCAAAAGTTTGTTAAAGCCCAAAGATAGGACATCTCTCCTAAGCCTTTTATCCACTGGTCCTCTAATCCTATCAAAACGGGAGTCAGATTGGTCTGCCAAGGCTCACTTTTTAACCATCAATTTTGCTAAGGTCCTTAGCTTTACAATTCTGGAGCTAATGTTGTAAAATGTCAATGAAGAGCTTAGAATACAGTCACTAAAGGTCAGCCAAGTTCCAGTCAAGGGAAAGTTAAGCTTCTAACAAATGACTTAACATTATTGCGTTTAATGAAAAAGCATCCTGATGCTAATGTTTTCTTTTTTTTTAAATCATTTTATTAGGGGCTCATACAACTCTTATCACAATCCAAAAATACATCAATTGTGTAAAGCACATTTGTACATTCATTGCCCTCATCATTCTCAAAACATTTGCTGTCCACTTAAGGCCCTGGCATCAGGTCCTTATTTTTCCCCTCCCTCATGAACCCTTGATAATTTATAAATTATTATTTTGTCATATCTTGCCCTATCTGACGTCTCCCTTCACCCACTTTTCTGTTGTCAGTCCCCCATGAAAGAGGTCACATTTAGATCCTTGTAATCGGTTCCCCCTTTCCAACCCACTTTCCCTCTACACTCCCAGTATCACCACTCACACCATTGGTCCTGACAGGATCATCCGCCCTGGATTCCCTGTGTTTCCAGTTTCTATCTGTACCAGTGTACATCCTCTGGTCTAGCCAGACTTGCAAGGTAGAATTGGGATCATGATAGTGGGGGAGGAGGAAGCATTTAGGAACTAGAGGAAAGTTGTATGTTTCATCATTGCTACATCGCACCCTGACTGGCTTATCTCCTCCCTGAAACCCCTCTGCAAGGGGATGTCCAGTGGCCTACAAAAGGGCTTTGGGTCTCCACTTTGCAGTCCTGCCCTCATTCATTATGGTAAGATTTTCAGCCCATACAACTATTGCTTTTTCAGCTCTCAGAGTCTCCTTGGAACACTTCCATTAAGTGTCTTTTTGAATTTGTCAAACATTCCTCCTTTATATCATCTGAGTAACTAAGCACAAGAATGAAAACTTGCTTCTATCTTAAGTCAGCCATTCACTGCATCACATCCATGTCCTAGTAAACACCATGGCTCAAACGGAAGAAACAAACAATGATTTCTGTGTAGTAGAAAATGCTGAAAACATGACCAAGACTACGTTCAAAGACCACTGATTTTTATGTATTTTATAAGATGTTTCTTAAACCTGAGTCGTTTCAGGGTCAAATGCACCTAGTCTACTCTGCCAAAACTTTTCTCGTTACTTGGTTTTACAGTATCACATTGAGCACAAGTTGCACAGAAGATAGAATGGTATAGTGGGGGAAAGCATATGCTTCAAAATCCAACAATTCAGTATTCAAATTCTGGCTTGTTCTCTTACAAGCCAGGTGATTGTTGCTAGGTGCAGTCTAGGTTTTGGTAAATCATTGTAATCACTCTTAGTCTTAGTTTCATAATGTTTTAAAGGGGAATGATAATCCTCCATAAGATTTTTGAAAAAATATATATATATAAATGTAAATATAAAATGATATAATTTAAAGTAGTAAATTATTTTAAGGGAATTAAAACAGACTTCTGTAAAAACCTGGGAGTTTCTTAAAGGATGAATCTTTCTCTCTCACTGTGCTTTTTTTTTTTTCAAAACTCAGTCTTTGGTGACTATCCCTTTTACTGGCACACAGTGAGTGCAGAATGAATAAATTGATAATCAATGGGGTTCAGGTTGATAATTAATTCTATTAGTCGATGGAATAAGAATATAGACTTGACAGGTAATAATCAAGAATTAATGCCACAACTTAAAAATATAGGATGCTGATTATATCAACATTACTTAAAATAATTCGATTTTAAATGCATCACCATCATCTGAGTACTATGCAGCAGAATGGTAAAAGCTTGATTAAAAGAAATGCTCAGAGATTAGGAGGTTCTGATTAACCGTGTTTAATCAAAAAAGTCTTTTTTATTTTGTCTTGCATGGATAATTTTGCAGAATAACATATTAGTACACTCCCCTGCCTTATTAAACAGAAGACTGAAGATCTTACAGAGCTTCAGAGCCTGATCTATAAAAAGAGACTAGCAGTAAGAAGACTAAATCAGGGGGCTGTTAAAAGGATGAAACAAGATCATATATGTAGAACAACCTGCATCATATCTGCCATATGAAACTTAGCCAAAAAGTAGTGCTGTGGGGGTTCCAGTTCCTGCACGCATGGGATTATTCCAAACCAAACATGTTCAAATATGCCTTTATGATCAGTAGATGGCTGCAAATACGTTCTCTCATGAATATACTTGTCTTCAACTCATTAGGGTGTCTTCTTAAAAGGATCCAAGAAAAATAGTGAGTGGCTTCCGAGGCAATCTACTGGACCAGTTAAATTCAAGGCAGAGTGGTCAGCTCAAGAAGGTTATGTCTACTGTGTTTGGGAGTTCCCACGGAGACATATTAATAAATTTCTCTTTTTTTTAAATCGTCTTATTAGGGGCTCATACAACTCTTATCACAATCCATACATACATCAATTGTGTAAAGCACATTTGTACATTCATTGC